GGGTGAGAGGGGGATGAGGGGGGAGGGGTGAGAGTTGGGAAGGTTCAAGGGAAGGGGACTAGAAAGTGCCGATAAACATCTACATCAATAGTGCCGACTTTTTCCGGTCGTCTAGAAGACCAGAATAGTCGCCGCAACATTTCCCCAGCCCGATTTCAAAGCGTGCCGGCAAAAACTTCAGATGCTTCGCTAAAGGGAGATAACTTAAACTTTCACAAGTTTATTGATACAGTTGTTAAAGTAAAAATGAACGCAATTATAAATGTATGACATCGAAATAAATAATTATATTTTTTGTAGAGTCCAGGCCAGTAGTTTAAACACACAATCATATATATATATATATATATATATATATATATATATATATATATATATATATATATATATATATATATTTAATAATGTAAACAATATAACAATCCTTTTTTTGTTCTCCTAATCGACGCCACTAAAAGTAAAAAGGTAGGCTACGTCTTTGAAGTTGTCTATATGTCTGGCGGTCTCTCGAGCTATATTCTGTACATTTTTTTCAAAGACGTTTGCCGACTATCGTGTTTTTTTGTAACTGTAGAAGAAAGATAACTCGACCTCCACCTAATTTAAAAAAAAAAAATTAATTTTTTTTTTTTTTAATTTTTTTTTTACATTTTTTTTTTAAATAATTTAGCCAGGATTTTTGGGCCCCCAATCGGTCTGCCCCCCTCCCCCGCATTGCGGTGTCTGGCGGCACTGTAGTTCCGCCCCTGCGTCTTTGAAGTTGTCTATATGTCTGGCGGTCTCTCGAGCTATAGTCTGTACATTTTTTTTCAAAGACGTTTGCCGACTATCGTGTTTTTTTGTAACTGTAGAAGAAAGATAACTCGACCTCCACCTAATTTTTAAAAAAAAAAATTTAATTTTTTTTTGTTTTAATTTTTTTTTTTACATTTTTTTTAAAAAATAATTTAGCCAGGATTTTTGGGCCCCCAATCGGTCTGCCCCCCTCCCCCGCATTGCGGTGTCTGGCGGCACTGTAGTTCCGCCCCTGCGTCTTTGAAGTTGTCTATATGTCTGGCGGTCTCTCGAGCTATAGTCTGTACATTTTTTTTCAAAGACGTTTGCCGACTATCGTGTTTTTTTGTAACTGTAGAAGAAAGATAACTCGACCTCCACCTAATTTTTAAAAAAAAAATTTAATTTTTTTTTTGTTTTAATTTTTTTTTTACATTTTTTTTTAAAAATAATTTAGCCAGGATTTTTGGGCCCCCAATCGGTCTGCCCCCCTCCCCCGCATTGCGGTGTCTGGCGGCACTGTAGTTCCGCCCCTGCGTCTTTGAAGTTGTCTATATGTCTGGCGGTCTCTCGAGCTATAGTCTGTACTTTTTTTTTCAAAGACGTTTGCCGACTATCGTGTTTTTTTGTAACTGTAGAAGAAAGATAACTCGACCTCGACCTATTTTTTTTTTTTTTTTTTTTTTTTTTTTAAATTTTTTTTTTTAATTTTTTTTTAAATAATTTAGCCGGGATTTTTGGGCCCCCATTCGGTCTGGGCCCCCCCGCATTGCGGGGTCTGGCGGCACTGTAGTTCCGCCCCTGTCTCCGCTGCAGTTAGACGTCATTATAAATTCGAAGAGCAATGTGCACATTTGGAAAGCTCTGTATGCACTTGAAACTATAATAATAAATTATTTTGAAGATATACACTTAAAATTTTTAGTTGAGTACCCCAAAATATGGAAGAAGATTATGAATTCATTATTTATTGGGTATAAAATATAATATTTTATGAATGGTGGAAAACCTACGAGGGGGTTACTTTTTCAAGTTGGCCACCGTTGTCATAGTTACCAAGATTTTTCCACCATTTTTTTAGTGAAAATGCATATGCGGATGTATTTTAATAAAGCTGTAAATAAATAACTGTTTTCTAACGAGTATTAAAAAAAGTTTTTTTTTTACCGGAGCCTCCCCCTCTTAAAAAATTGTTTTACTTATCAAGACGAAAACATTGACTACGGCTAAATTCCAAGGAATTCACAACTCAAATGTTTTAATGGGTGAAACTTCGGGGCGGGGAGACAGTTTGGAGACAGGTCGGGTGTGTGTGGGGGGGGGGGGGGTAGATGCCATGCCATGTAATGGATTCTCATCCGGTTTTGTATTACTGTTCGGGACAGTGGTAACGCCTTTATTTATAGGGTTCTTCTCTCTTGGCCTGTTTGGCAATTCCTATAGTGCAATTAATACGGGTGAGAGTGTGCCTTGAACTAGAGATGTTTCGCATTTTTTTAAATCTCTAAGCCACTCGGTCAAAAGGTCAATACTTAAAAAAAAAACACTTCTACATCGGCCCGTGTCTAACCATCCACTTCGCTATGAAAATAAAAACTTTTGGTAAATGTTCTAAATGATACGAATTCCTGCACTAGCTCAGTTCCATTTTCAATAACATCCGTGCACGTCACTGCTAATTGTTCCAAATGTATCAAGCAGTCATCTAATGCAAAATCTTTTGGGTCTAAACAAGAAAACTTGGAAGAAACATCTTTAAAGTTTTGAAACCTTGTTACTTTCTCGTATATACGAAGTATAGAGAAAGTATTGTAATCGTGCAAAAAAAATCGAGATTTTTACAAATCTCGACGTTTTACACCTCACTGATACGGAAAAACATAATTTTGCAATCTTGTCCGTATGTCTGTGTGTCTGTGTGTGTGTGTGTGTCTGTGTGTGTGTGTGTGTTTAAACACGATTACTTGAGTACCGTTACAGCTAGGTTGATGAAACTTCATATACAAGTATTTGATCAAAATCGTAGATCCGTATCAACTTTTGAGCGAATTCCGATAACCGGAATTGGTACTTTTTCTACTTTGAATTTTTCAAAAGCCTATAACTTGAGTACTATTTCAGATAGATAAATGAAATTTCACATGTAAGTAAAAGATCTAATTCTCTACCTTCTGTTAAATTTTGAGTAATTTCCGTTGACGGGAAGTACTAATTTACGCTATTTCCGATTTCTCAAAAACGCATTTAAATTTATAAAGTACTAATAATATTGCGCACCATTATGAACATATTTATTCGGCGTTCGCTTGGTGTGCAATACTTTTTTCTATGAGATTCTATTTTATTTTAAAAAGTTTATGTATTTAAAATGGATTAAAAATCATAACTATATCCCGAGTTCCCATCCCCTGTTGTTTTATATAAGAATATTCGAGAAAGTTTAGGGGAGATCACTCCCGGTTTATGTTGGTAATAGTTATGACAGAGTTCAGTGACACTAAACAAATTTGAACAATGAACTTTTTCCTTAAGTCAGATATCGGAATATCCTCTGCATCTTCGTCATTGAATCTTATTCTTTTTGTATATCCTGTATTGGGTGGATGGATGGATGGATGGATGGATGAGACGGGATAGATGGATGAGACGGGATAGATGGATTAGACGGGATAGATGGATGAGACTGGATAGATGGATAGATGGATAGATGGATAGATGGATAGATGGATAGATGGATAGATGGATAGATGGATAGATGGATAGATGGATAGATGGATAGATGGATAGATGGATAGATGGATAGATGGATAGATGGATAGATGGATAGATGGATAGATGGATAGATGGATAGATGGATAGATGGATAGATGGATAGATGGATAGATGGATAGATGGATAGATGGATAGATGGATAGATGGATAGATGGATAGATGGATAGATGGATAGATGGATAGATGGATAGATGGATAGATGGATAGATGGATAGATGGATAGATGGATAGATGGATAGATGGATAGATGGATAGATGGATAGATGGATAGATGGATAGATGGATAGATGGATAGATGGATAGATGGATAGATGGACAGATGGACAGATGGACAGATGGACAGATGGACAGATGGACAGATGGACAGATGGACAGATGGACAGATGGACAGATGGACAGATGGACAGATGGACAGATGGACAGATGGACAGATGGACAGATGGACAGATGGACAGATGGACAGATGGACAGATGGACAGATGGACAGATGGACTGGACAGATGGATAGATGGATAGATGGATAGATGGATAGATGGATAGATGGATAGATGGATAGATGGATAGATGGATAGATGGACAGATGGACAGATGGACAGATGGACAGATGGACAGATGGACAGATGGACAGATGGACAGATGGACAGATGGACAGATGGACAGATGGACAGATGGATAGATGGATAGATGGATAGATGGATAGATGGATAGACGGATAGACGGATAGACGGATAGACGGATAGGCGGATAGGCGGATAGACGGATAGACGGATAGACGGATAGATGGATAGATGGATAGATGGATTGATGGATAGATGGATAGATGAATGGATGGATGGATGGATGGGATGGGAGGGGCGGGACTGGACGAATAAATGGATGGGACTGGATGGATAAATGGATTGATGTGACGGAACGGGATTGATGGAAGGATGAGACGAGATGGATGGATGGATGAGACGGGATGGAAGAATTGATGAATGAATGGATGGTATACACGCAGAAACATGCACATTTAAACATGCATGCATAAACACACACTTTGCAATAAGCCTCAACTTTTTCTTCGTGCTTTGTTTTTATTTGCGCATTTTTCGGTGTGCCATATTTAACTCAACTATCTCAAGGTTCAGTATCTTTATATAATTTTGTCTTACAATTTTCTTAGTGGACCATTTGCATAGCATAACTTGTATTGAATCAATACGAGACACTAGTTTTAATCAAATATTTTTCTTACTACAACACAAAGCTAATTTATATTATTAGTTGAATTAAATACTTTTCTGTTGTATCCATTTATATCGTCAATTAACTTCTGATGCACAGGTGCTCTTAATGTACATTTATACTAATGCACTTAAAGCAAAACATATATGTTTGCATCATACTCAACTTTCTGTAAGATATGCTAATTATTTATTCCTCATTTTTAAACCCACAGACGATAGAGTACTAGGACACATTCCTCTATCAGCCAGATCATTTAAATTGTCCCATCCAGTACTGTGGGTTGCCTTCAAAAGGAAATCTGTAAAAGGTCATAGATAATATATTTTAGAAATGGCAGGACATTATACAAGAGCTAAAATGCATGGTGCAGAGAAGTAATTTCCTTTTAATATCAACATCATTATTATCAAAAAGTTGCAAATCTTGTGTAATGAAAAACAAATAGGTGAAACTTTGTGTTGCAAATATAATTTTGCTTGAGAAAAAAAAACATGATTAAAATGTTTACCTGCACTGTTTTTAACTTGTTTTGAATCTTTAAATAAGAATTATGCATTGGAATCATTTCAAATTTAAAGGAACTGGGTTCTACAGAGAGATTAAAATCGTATTGTAAATCTAATAGGTCTTGCTGAAATAATTTTCTTCCTTGTTGACTGTATGTATACAGAAAGACAAGTCAACTATGTTAACATTCTAGTTTTTAACATTTAAATAAAAATGTACCCGTATCCCTCACTTTTTTTTTCAGTTCCTTCACCAAGCATAAGTTGTTAAGAATGTCCCTAAACGATGGTAGTGGTGAAAGTGATGGAAGTATGGAAGTAGATGAAAACAAAAATGACAACGAAGTAGAAACACCATTTCCATCTAACAAGTCTAAAATTTCGGAGAAGGAAGCGAAGTCAACTAAAGTGGAAAGAGGAAAGAAATCTGATTTTAAGGTAAACCTGCTGTAACACTATTTCCATTTTTATTCAATTTTAATGGTCTTGAAGATCACATTCTAATATTCAAAAACCTAGGTGCGCACTTCGCTGTCGGCTGATCAAACACTGAAATTTCTTTGACAGTGTCAATGATAACGAGCCCTCTCTTTGATATTATTTCTTCACTAACTCAATGATTAGGCATTATTAATTTTTTTAAAGAAAATCTTAATGGAAAACAATTCGAAATCAATAAAATGGTCAAGGACCTTTAAAATATGAAAACGCTCTAAATAAACAGTTTATTTCTTCTTTAACAATGAATAAATTAACATGTGATTGAAATAAATTTTAAAAATGTCTTTTATTATCTTATTTTTTATACATTAAGGCCCTATACAAACTATATCTCATTCTAAACCTATCATCTAGTATCTTGTTGTTGTTTTTTTAAATAATAATTTTGAATACGTCAGCTTGACGTGGGTCTACAGTCTACACGAAATATGAATATTTTTATCATTTTAAATGTAGGGTAACCTTTTATAGGGCCTATCCTATGTAATAAATAAAAAAAAATAATAAACCCTGTTAAGCAATAAAAATAAATAGCTACTGTCTACCGAATATTAGAGAAGTTTCCCTTGACAATTTTCTATTCGCATGTAGACCTATTTATTGTCTAATATAATAGCTTTTTAAAAATGTAAGTAGGACAATGGGTCGCCTTTTCATCTACAAACATCAACAATTGAAAGCAATAACGAAAAATCAAGAGTATTATAGTCGTAACGATAGTGACAAAAGAGAAAAAGTTATTTCTCATTATTTTTGCCTCCACACATTTACGTTATGCGAAAATTTAACTGGTAGTTTTTAAAATAAAGCCCATGCATGTAACAAGCCTATCTCGTTGTATATTTATTTTTAACAATATAATTGCAGTAATAAAATAGACGTTTGTGTGAACAGCGGCTACGGGGTCTCCCCTTCCGCCTCAGCGGGTATAAAGACCGAGTGACCACCAGCATTAGTTTTTTTACCTTATAACCAGAATGTAGTTCTAGTCAGATTCTCGGTGGGTGCTTGGGAAACCCCGTGCGTGAAGCGAGGTTGCTTTTGCAACTAGGCTGGGTGTTTTGTACGTTGTCTTTTGTGCGTAGTGTGTGTTTTGTACGTAGTATTTTGAATGTATTGTTTTGTATGTATTGTTTTGTTCGATGTTTTGTTTATATTACTTGTGTGTTTGGTGCGGATATTAGATGGCATTTCAAGTGCCGTAGGGGCTAGAAAGGTTGTCTGTGTGTTCAGAGCCTGGACTATCCGAGGCATCGAAGGTACATAATATTCCATCAAACGTTGTGTGTTTTGTTTGTTTAGTGTTTGTTTAGTGTTTGATTAGGATGTTTTGGGTTTGGAATAATGTTTCCGTTTTACTTTCTCGTATATACAGAGTATAGAGAAAGCATTATAATCGTGCAAAAAAATCGAGTTTTTCACAAATCTTGACATTTTACACTTCCCTGAGTCGGAAAAACACAGTTTTTCAATCTTGTCCGTATGTCTGTGTGTATGTGTGTGTGTCTGTGTATGTCTGTCTGTAAACACGATAACTTGAGTACCGTTACAGCTAGGTTGATGAAATTTCATATATAAGTATTAAATCAAAATCGTAGATCCGTATCAACTTTTGAGCGATTCCCGATAACCGGAAGTGGAACTTTTTCTACTTTGAATTTTTTTCAAAAGCCAATAACTTGAGTATTATTTCAGATAAATGAAATTTCACAGGCAAGTAAAAGTTGTAATTATCTGCCTTCTGTCAAATTGTGCGTAATTTCTGTTGACCGGAAATAGTAATTTACGTCATTTTATATTTCTCAAAAAATGCATGTGAATTTATAAACTACTAATAATATCCCACACTATTGTGCACATTTTGTACGGCGTTTACTCGGTGTGCATTTTTTTTTCTACGACATTCTATTCTACGAGAAAAATGGCCCGTTGAGGAAGGGTACAACGGGCGCTAGGCTGATAGTGCTGTCTCTTTTCTCTAAACTAAAACCAACCCACCCCCCAACCACCACCCCCACCCCCCACCCCCACCCCCACACACCACCCCCCAACCCACCCCCCACCCCCCACACACACCACCCCCTCCACACACCGATGGATAGATGGATAGATGGATAGATGGATAGATGGATAGATAGATAGATAGATAGATAGATAGATAGATAGATAGATAGATAGATAGATAGATAGATAGATAGATAGATAGATAGATAGATAGATAGATAGATAGATAGATAGATAGATAGATAGATAGATAGATAGATAGATAGATAGATAGATAGATAGATAGATAGATAGATAGATAGATAGATAGATAGATAGATAGATAGATAGATAGATAGATAGATAGATAGATAGATAGATAGATAGATAGATAGATAGATAGATAGATAGATAGATAGATAGATAGATAGATAGATAGATAGATAGATAGATAGATAGATAGATAGATAGATAGATAGATAGATAGATAGATAGATAGATAGATAGATAGATAGATAGATAGATAGATAGATAGATAGATAGATAGATAGATAGATAGATAGATAGATAGATAGATAGATAGATAGATAGATAGATAGATAGATAGATAGATAGATAGATAGATAGATAGATAGATAGATAGATAGATAGATAGATAGATAGATAGATAGATAGATAGATAGATAGATAGATAGATAGATAGATAGATAGATAGATAGATAGATAGATAGATAGATAGATAGATAGATAGATAGATAGATAGATAGATAGATAGATAGATAGATAGATAGATAGATAGATAGATAGATAGATAGATAGATAGATAGATAGATAGATAGATAGATAGATAGATAGATAGATAGATAGATAGATAGATAGATAGATAGATAGATAGATAGATAGATAGATAGATAGATAGATAGATAGATAGATAGATAGATAGATAGATAGATAGATAGATAGATAGATAGATAGATAGATAGATAGATAGATAGATAGATAGATAGATAGATAGATAGATAGATAGATAGATAGATAGATAGATAGATAGATAGATAGATAGATAGATAGATAGATAGATAGATAGATAGATAGATAGATAGATAGATAGATAGATAGATAGATAGATAGATAGATAGATAGATAGATAGATAGATAGATAGATAGATAGATAGATAGATAGATAGATAGATAGATAGATAGATAGATAGATAGATAGATAGATAGATAGATAGATAGATAGATAGATAGATAGATAGATAGATAGATAGATAGATAGATAGATAGATAGATAGATAGATAGATAGATAGATAGATAGATAGATAGATAGATAGATAGATAGATAGATAGATAGATAGATAGATAGATAGATAGATAGATAGATAGATAGATAGATAGATAGATAGATAGATAGATAGATAGATAGATAGATAGATAGATAGATAGATAGATAGATAGATAGATAGATAGATAGATAGATAGATAGATAGATAGATAGATAGATAGATAGATAGATAGATAGATAGATAGATAGATAGATAGATAGATAGATAGATAGATAGATAGATAGATAGATAGATAGATAGATAGATAGATAGATAGATAGATAGATAGATAGATAGATAGATAGATAGATAGATAGATAGATAGATAGATAGATAGATAGATAGATAGATAGATAGATAGATAGATAGATAGATAGATAGATAGATAGATAGATAGATAGATAGATAGATAGATAGATAGATAGATAGATAGATAGATAGATAGATAGATAGATAGATAGATAGATAGATAGATAGATAGATAGATAGATAGATAGATAGATAGATAGATAGATAGATAGATAGATAGATAGATAGATAGATAGATAGATAGATAGATAGATAGATAGATAGATAGATAGATAGATAGATAGATAGATAGATAGATAGATAGATAGATAGATAGATAGATAGATAGATAGATAGATAGATAGATAGATAGATAGATAGATAGATAGATAGATAGATAGATAGATAGATAGATAGATAGATAGATAGATAGATAGATAGATAGATAGATAGATAGATAGATAGATAGATAGATAGATAGATAGATAGATAGATAGATAGATAGATAGATAGATAGATAGATAGATAGATAGATAGATAGATAGATAGATAGATAGATAGATAGATAGATAGATAGATAGATAGATAGATAGATAGATAGATAGATAGATAGATAGATAGATAGATAGATAGATAGATAGATAGATAGATAGATAGATAGATAGATAGATAGATAGATAGATAGATAGATAGATAGATAGATAGATAGATAGATAGATAGATAGATAGATAGATAGATAGATAGATAGATAGATAGATAGATAGATAGATAGATAGATAGATAGATAGATAGATAGATAGATAGATAGATAGATAGATAGATAGATAGATAGATAGATAGATAGATAGATAGATAGATAGATAGATAGATAGATAGATAGATAGATAGATAGATAGATAGATAGATAGATAGATAGATAGATAGATAGATAGATAGATAGATAGATAGATAGATAGATAGATAGATAGATAGATAGATAGATAGATAGATAGATAGATAGATAGATAGATAGATAGATAGATAGATAGATAGATAGATAGATAGATAGATAGATAGATAGATAGATAGATAGATAGATAGATAGATAGATAGATAGATAGATAGATAGATAGATAGATAGATAGATAGATAGATAGATAGATAGATAGATAGATAGATAGATAGATAGATAGATAGATAGATAGATAGATAGATAGATAGATAGATAGATAGATAGATAGATAGATAGATAGATAGATAGATAGATAGATAGATAGATAGATAGATAGATAGATAGATAGATAGATAGATAGATAGATAGATAGATAGATAGATAGATAGATAGATAGATAGATAGATA